AAATACAGAAAGAAGCTGCTGCTGTGGGAGGAGGGACAGGGAACACACAGAGGGTTGGACGTGTACTCTGGAGAGGTGATCCAGACACAGCATCAGCATTCACTGTGCAGCTTTGGGGAGAGGGGGARAAAGGCCCAATGAAACAAAATGGAATTCAATAAATTCCACATTCTCCATTAAAGCAGAATATTACCCAAATTAAAAAGTGCAGAAAAACCAGGTGCAGATTCCATAGAATCACGCAATCCCAGGATCCCTGAGGCTGGAAAAGCCCTCCCAGCCCATGGAGTGCCACCTGTACCTGATGCCCACCTTGTCCCCAGCCCAGAGCACTCAGTGCCACCTCCAGCCSTTCCTGGGACACCTCCAGGGATGGGGACTCCAAAGSTCYCTGGGCAGYYCCTGCCAAGGCCTGAGCACCCTTTCCATGGGCAAATTCCTCCTGGTGTCCACCCTGAGCCTCCCCTGGCCCAGCCTGAGGCCGTTCCCTCTCCTCCTGTCCCTGTTCCCTGGGAGCAGAGCCCGACCTCCCCCGGCTGCCCCCTCCTGTCAGGGAGTTGGGGACACCAGCAAGGTCCCCCCTGAGCCTCCTCTGAGGGGAGTAGGGAGATTAAAGTTGATGAACTCAATTCCTGTTTTCTTTGTGTTTTCTTCCTGCAAGCACTCTGAAAAAGGAGATATTTATGCACCAAGGTAAAAACATCAACCCCCAAAATTGTGCAATTCCCACACCAAGCTGAGACACATCTTCACTCCTGGAAGTTTCCTTTTGCTGCCAGAATTTAATTTCTCACTCTCACTTYGATGCAGTAACACACAAACCCAGTTAATTCCCAGTGCAAAGTGGGAATTCCCACTTCTGCTGCAGTGCTGGCTCCAGCCTTTATCTWCCTGTGCAGGTGAGGCTGGGCTGGGAACAGGGAGTCACAGCTCCCTGCATTGGCTTCTTAAATTAAGAATACACATCAGCAGATAATTCAATGGACCTAATTTCACTCCCAGTTTAGCTGCCAAGTTTTCCACAGACATCAGTCCATCCTGCCCTAAAAACTTCACAAACTTTGCATCAGGGAAAAATAAATTCCATAGAAAGATGATGCCAATGGGGTCATCCTTAAAAACACACCATTTCTCATTAATAAAAATAAATCAGATCAGGTCTTCTTWACAAAATATTATTTTTTTAATAAACATTTTGATTAGTTTTTGTAATAAATAGTTCATCAAAGTTAATCAGTATTTTATATATATATATGACATTTACTTTTTAATGTGACAATCAGTGCCAGGAATTGCTACAACTCCTCAGGGAGCCACAACCACCAGTGGCAAAAGTYATGGATCATTTAATTCCTCATTTAGAGCCAAGTTTCTTGTACTTACAAAAATAAAATTATTCTGTCAAAAGTCTGTGCCCACGTGTTTGTCTGTGGATTTTGACTGCTGAAGAAAACAGCAATGAGAGAGACACAAAAGTCCATTTGCTTCTCCTTTTCCAAGGAAGAATGAGGATATTTAGGATATTTGAGCCTTTTCTGAGGCTGCTCCCACTCCAGAGTCGGAGTCCCCTTGTGCAGAGTCCTGGGGGTGCTCTGGCGTCCTGCTGGCCTCATCCCCACTCCCATCACTGAGGTTTTGGGATTCTTCTGAAATCACGGTCAGCTTGTCATAAACGAGGAGCTCTTCTTGTGGAAGGGGAGGGAAAGGCTGCGGAGCACTGTGAGGTTTGCTCAAAAACTGGGAAACAAAGAGAAAATGAGGATTAGGCCTCTCCAGCTGTCCCATCCTCTGYGCTCAGAAACGCTGGGGTTATTGAACATTGGGATTGTTTTGCACACATCAAGTGGCTTTCTCTGGCCTTCCAAGTCCCACAGGGCCAGCAGAATCATATCCTCCCTCACATCCTGTTCCAGGCTTGGAAGCAAGATGGAAAAGCCTTTCTCTGCGGGAACYCCAGGGCTCAGAGACTGCTGTGGAATAGGAACTTACTTGAACAAAATCAAACAGTTTTGACTGGGAACAAACACTAAACAGTAACTGGGCTGTAGGGAAAGGAGATCACAGATTTGCCAAGAACTCTCCCCTCTGGCAGTRGGAAGCCATTCCCCTTGTCCTGGCACTCCAAGCTCTTGTCCCAAGTCCCTCTCCAGCTCTCCTGGAACCCTTCAGGCCCTGCAAGGCCACAATGAGGTCACCCCAAAGCTTTTCCTTCCCCAGGCTGAACAATCCCGACTCCCTCAGCCGCACAGTAGATCTCCTCCATCCCTCTGATCATCCTGGTGCCCTCAGATGAAACAATTCTGAAGTGAATTTTGAAAGCAGCTGCTCTCTCAGGAGTGMTGTGCACTGTAGATATAAAAATCAACACAAATATCTTTACTGTGAGATCCTTTTCTACCAAACTGGGATTGGGAATGCTCTGGCCCAAACCTGCAACTGAACATTCCCATAGTGAAAGCACGGCCTTGGCCAAAGCACCTTTAGGGAGGCACAGCTGACCTTTGATTCCTGGGATAGCACAGGCCCAAAGCTCTCCCTGCCTTTAGAGCCACCTGGGAGCAAAGGGAACTCGAGCACATCCCGTGTGGCTCTGGAGCTGCCTGCCCAGTGCTGAGCTCCAGGTTCTGCAAGCTACAGGGACTGGGGACAGGAACGGAGGGACAGGAGCCAGGGAATGGCTTCCCAGTGCCAGAGAGCAGGGCCAGATGGGATATTGGGCAGGAATTGTTCCCTGGGAGGGTGGGCAGGCCCTGGCACAGGGTGTCCAGAGAAGCTGTGGCTGCCCCTGGATCCCTTTGAGTGCCCAAGRCCAGGCTGGACATTGGGGCTGGGAGCAGCCTGGGACMRTGGGAGGTGTCCCTGCCATGGCAGRGGTGGCACTGGATGGGCTTTAAGGTCTCTTCCAACCCAAACCAGTTGAGATTCTGGGATTCTGTGACACTCCTGGTGCTGAGCACATGKTCAGCCTAAAGCAGGAGCCAAAGTCAGCTGCAAACCTGAGGGCGCTGAGCTCCAAATGAATCAAAATGGAAGTCCCAGAGAACTGCAGGAACTCAGGAGAGCACAGGCTGGAACAGGAGTATTTTGTACATCCTTGTTTCTTGAGGAGATTCTGCTGCAGCCTTTTTGTGTTCTGGCTGTGTGACAGGGGCAGTGGGCTCCCATCAGCAATGGCTGCTGTTCAGATTTCAGAGAATCACGGATTCCCAGGACGGCTTAGGTTGGACCGAACCTGAAAGCTCATCCTGTCCCAGGGGCAGGGACACCTTCCACAGCCCAGGCTGATCCAGTGCAGGCTCCTTCCCCAAACACTTCACTGAAGATAAAACTTGTGATTACACTCGTGACAGGACTTTGCTCCAGAACAAATGAGCTGCTTTAGGTTTAAAAGGAGGCAGGAGAGTCAGAGTTGACTGCGGCTCACTGGTTAAATGAGGAACTGAAGTTGACACCTGGTACTTGCTCACTCTAAAATACACAAACCCATCCTGTTTCTGAGCCATAAAAAGCTGCTGATTACAAATTACAGATCGCTGACCAGCAGGTGCCAGTGAAAGGAGACAAAATAAAAAAAAGCTCTAAATGTTTGGGCTCTGAGAGCCTTGGAAGACCAAGTGGTTCTGTTGGAAAGGCTGCTTTTCATGTGCTGGACAGAAAACCAACCTCTTTCAAGTGTTGTGGGAAAATGTAGGAAGGGCAGAAAACGTGTTTGGTGAGTCTGTACAGATAAAAACTGCAGAAGAAACAAACGGTGACAGCTGTGACAACAACCAGCATGGATCCCAGCAGAACAGTCACAATAACCCACACAGGGGTCACACCTGCAGGAGACAAGGAAATAAACAATTCAAACGGTCATTGTTCATTTCTGAGTAATTATTTTCAAACGGTCTCTTTCTCTCATCCTCAAAGTGTCCAAGTGATGCCTGATGATTTTTGCTTTTCCTTTTTACATTTTCTGTACCCTCTATGCATCCCCCTGTACCCCTTAGCCCACATGTTTGTAGTTCCTGTAGCCTGATATTCCAGCTTAGTTTAGGAGTTCTGTTGGGCAGAGAGACCAAACATCCTCAGGAAGGRGTTAGTGTGCCCTGTGCTCTCTTAAACCCGAGCTCCAGCCTTGGGTGAAGCCTTCTGTCCAGAACATCTTGTGTAAACTGRGSTCTGGCCTCATCCGGGGGGGATTCATTAGAATARSGGGACATTACTGCATATGTGAAGTTTCTTATTGGGGAATCCCAGATAGACATGCTAATTCCTGAAATCTATAAAACTTGTATCTTATTGGGGAATCCTAGATAGATATGCTAATTCCTGAAATCTATAAACCTTGTATCCATGCTATACACGGGGGTGCATTCTGCCATCAAGTTRTGCACCTGGGATCCCAAATACCGARGTAAAACCCTTTTTATCCCCTAACCATATCTGTGTCATTATTAAAAACTGGCCTTTTAAGGCAACACAAGGGCGGCTTGGAYGGGGCTTGGAGCACCCCAGACAGTGGGAGGTGTCCCTGCCCACGGCAGGGGTGGCACTGGGTGGGCTCTGAGGGCCCTCCCAAGCCATCCCAGTGTGTGATCCCACGATTTCCCAGTCCCCACGTTACCATTGTGGGTTGTCTGCTCACAGAGCTCCCTGCTCAGCTCCCCTGTCTTGTTCCATTCGGGAATCACCGCCTGCACTTGGACACAATAAACTGTCCATGGCTCCAGYTGGGACAGGATTTCTGAGTTGTGTTTGGTGTCTACCTGAGTTACCTGACAACAGAGAAAAACAGAAAAATCAAGGGCATGAGATCAGTGACTGGACTAGCTGGAATTAGCTAARGAATAACCAAGGAATTACAATTACAGCAGCACTGTGAGACCATTCACACCACTGGTCTCTGGGCTGTTTCCAGCAGCACTAATGAAGTTTATGGTTAATGAGAGATGATAAATGAGAGCTGCTGGCAGCCACAAACTGCCAYCCAACCAAATGAGATCATCTAAGAGCACTGTTACACACAAACMCCACCTCACTGGGGAGGGAACAAGTGGAATGGAAGAACAGCACAAGAAGAAAAGGCCTCAGGTACTGCCAGAGAAATTTTAGATGGGACCTTARGAAAAATTTCCTCACTGAAAAAGCTGTCAAGCCCTGGAATAAACTGCCCAGAAAATTAGTGGAGTCCCCATCCATGGAAGTGTTAAATAATGTGCAGATGTGGCACCTGGGGACATGGGTTAGTGGTGAACACGTGGTGCTGGGTTAATGGCTGGAACTGATGACCACAGAGGGCTTTTCCAATGTTCCCAGTCCTGGGATTCTGTGATCTGTGGTCCAGATAAAACAAAATAAAACAACACAAAAAAAAAAAAAAAAAAAAAAAAAAAAAAAAAAAAAAAAAAAAAAAAAAAAAAAAAAAAAAAAAAAAGCAAAGGAAAGGAAGTATTTCTGGGAGCTGTGAGATGGCTGAACAGATGAATTTGCTGCTCAGGATTAGTTTTGCCCCTGTAACTGCAGAGTGTCCCTTTGGGATACAGATTCCTCCTTAGGGACATGAGACTCTCCAGCCAGGTTTCAATCTTGGAGCAAGCACCCATCTCACAATGAACCTGTGGAGTTACCCAGTCTTTGCCTGTTGCCCCTTTGATCCCCAGGGAATCTCCCAGATCTGCACTTGGAGTGTTCCAAGCACAGACTCAAACTGCACTTCTGCTCTTGTAGTAAATCCAGCAGAATCTGCATCCCATGGGCAAGAACACCTGCACTTCTCAGGAATCTGGGAACTGAAAACCAGGCTGCTTTGGGGGACATGATGGTCCCTYCTTTTCTGGAACTGAATGGCAAAGGATTGTGCAGGTAACAGACACAAATCAGAATTGTACATGGTCCCATTATATAAAATTACACTGATGTACAAAGCACCCATTAACTGGGACTGGGGTCTGCTGGTCAGAGGCTTCCTGTTTGCCCACAGTAGTGGCCATAATGTTCTAATTAATACATTATTAATGATCTTTCGCTGTGCACTGTGCATGGAGTGGTGTTTTGGGCTGAGTAACACATCKGCCTGTGCAAGAGGCTGTTCCCACGGAGAAAGGGAATTGCAGTGGATAGAGGTGACCAGTGAATACAAGCAGGTGGCCACAATGAACACAAGCCTTACCCATTTTCTAGGTAGTTTTGGGGATACAAACCTAAAGTCACACAAAGAGGGAACAAACACAGTTATTTATAATTAAGGAAAGAGAAAATTCTGTCCATGCTGCTGTTTAACTACACAGCTCCCTGCATTTGCTCTGCGTCCCAGCTGTAATGACCAGAACTGATTAATGGTAATCAGCAGATTCATTTTTACTCTTAGAATGACAGAATCCTGGGAYGGTTTTGGGAGGGACCTCAAAGCCCAGCCAGTGCCACCCCTRCCATGGCAGGGACACCTCCCACTGTCCCAGGCTGCTCCCAGCCCCAATGTCCAGCCTGGCCTTGGGCACYCAAAGGGATCCAGGGGCAGCCACAGCTTCTCTGGGCACCCTGTGCCAGGGCCTGCCCACCCTCCCAGGGAACAATTCCTGCCCAATATCCCATCTGGCCCTGCCCTCTGGCACTGGGAAGCCATTCCCTGGCTCCTGTCCCTCTCCAGCTCTCCTGGAGCCCCTTCAGGCCCTGGCAGGAGCTCTGAGCTCTCCCTGGATCCTTCCCTTCCCCAGGTGAGCACCCCCAGCTCTCCTAGCCTGGCTCCAGAGCTCTGCCACCTGTGCCAGGGCCTCCACGAGCTTCCAGTACCTGCCCAGGATGGTGTTTTCCAAGAAAAGCACAGATGAAAGTCAGGGAGTCACCATACCCAGGAAGCAGGACTCAGGTGTGTATCTCTGCTGCCTTTTTTCCAGTAGAGGATCCTGTATTTCCAGGAGCCATAGTACTGCCTCAGGGGCCACTTGTCCTGCTCGTGCTCAGCAAAGGGCCCGGAGAAATCCACATGCAGCGCCCCAGACTCTGACTTCAGCCTCACCTCGGGGGGACCAATGACTGCTGCACACAGGGAAAGAGGAGAGAAATCAGCTCCACACTGCCTCAGATGGGCATCTTTACACCACCCATGGAAATTCATATTTTAAATAATTACATGGATAAGAAGGAAGTAATTTATTTTCCTGGCCTAGGCATAAATCAATCCTTTCCTTACACAAGTGCTCTGGAAAGGGAYTTTATTTTGCAGCTGAACTCCAGGTACCAATACAGGCTCCATTCCTACACCCTAAACGAGCTCAGTTCCCTTTTGGCAGCTGTGGTGACTCCAGGAGAGGAAGGATCATTTCCACGGCTATCACTCACTTCTCCTTCTGGGCCAAACTGTCACAACATCTGTCTGCCCTGAGGAGACCCTCTAGAAAAGTGCTTCCTTGTGGCTTTTTGTGGCTGTTGATTATGATCAGTCTGAAACATGAAAACATTTGAATTATTTCTGCCTGGTGCAATCAAGATTTCTGAGCTGAAAATTAATCTTTCTCTATGAAAGCGGGTTTTTTTCTGAAGTAAGAAAAAATAAAAATAAAGTTTTTTGTCTAGCAAAGCAATGAAGAAGGAAGTAACTGAATTTATTTTGATATACAGGAAGTCTGRCTCCTTGAAGACAACTTCTCCCTGGCTAGAAAATAGAAATGTCCCTTATTTTAAGAGAAAATTGTTTTATTTGAAAATCTCATCCAAAGAGGTTATCAATACTATGAGARTTAACTTTGCTTTCTGTCTTCAATTTTACAACCAAGATTCTATAGGTCGAAGCAATTAAAATAAAAACCAATSTGCACTACAGCTTTTGCCATGGAGCCAGGCAGTGCAGGGGCACGAAGGGCAGGCAGGATTTTTGGGAAGAACAGGARAAAGCTTACTGTCATCCATGGGTTTGAAGCGGAGGGTGAGCCATGGGGAATGGAGCTGCCCCACCTCGGCCCTGAGCTGCAGGACATAGTCCCCGTACGCTGACAGCGAGGACACGTCGCACTCAGGGAGGCTTAGGTTGGTCCTCACGGTCTCATAGGAGTCTCCAGGGAAGTTGATGCTGCAGGGAGCAGGGACAAAGTGGAGGAGATGGGGAATTATAACTGGATAAATGGCTTTAAGGCAGCAAAGCTGTGTATGCAGCCAGTGAGAAGTTGGGAACACAAAAATGTATCCTGTGTGTAAGGCTTACATTAAGGATTTTATACCCAGCTACAAATCCATGGYAAACTTAGGGATCAGAATTTTGATTCTGTAAGTAGATGCCCTTTTCCTGACAGTGTTACAAAGTTCCATTCACCAGGCAGTTCAGAGAGGCCTGCAAACACTCAGCCAATGCCACTGCAGGCACTGCTGTCACACTGGGACTTTGCTTGGAGCTGTCTCCAGGACTTGCACACAGGGAAAAGCCAGAGAAAACAGGGCTGGGAAGTGGCCAGGAACTGGTTATAGAATAGAATCACAGAAGGTTTGGGTCAGAGGGACCTTAAAGCTCATCCCATTCCATCCCTGCCATGGGCAGGGACACCTTCCATTACCCCAGGCTGCTCCAAGCCCCATCCAGCCTGGCCTTGATCAATATATGATTTAATTGATGATATTTAATATATTTTATTCTATCTGGTTCACATCAAAAGCCTGCCCAGGGATGTACTGATCAAGGGGCCATGACTACAGAACCCAGAAAAATCTTCTCTCAACTCAGCATGATGAGAAGGTGCTSGRGAGAGCTCAGAGCCCCTTCCAGTACCTGGAGGGGCTTAGAAAAAAGAGAGAGAGGGACTTTCATATGGGCAGAGAATGCCAGGAGCCAGGGAGTGGCTTTCCCAGTGCCAGAGAGCAGGGCCAGATGGGATATTGGGCAGGAATTGTTCCCTGGGAGGGTGGGCAGGCCCTGGCACAGGGTGYSCAGAGAAGCTGTGGCTGCCCCTGGATCCCTTTGAGTGCCCAAGGCCAGGCTGGACATKGGGGCTGGGAGCAGCCTGGGACAGTGGGAGGTGWCCCTGCCATGGTGGGATGGAATGGCTGCACCTGGGATCAGGGAAGCAGCAAACACTCAGCAGGATCAGGTCTCTTCTATCACAGGTAACAGCTCCACRAGAGAGGAAAACCACACACACAGCCAAAAACATCCAGTCAAAATGTGTTTGTGGTTCCAAAAACACCCAGGGCAAAGCTGCCTCAGGTGGGAATGCCCATAAAATGTCTGCCCTGTCCTTCAGCTCAGCAGAGGAGCCTCTCACAAGCAGAAACAGAGGAATGGCTCCTGATTGTCCTCTGGAAAGGACACAAATCCCAGCCAGGCAGAGCTGTAAGATGTGCACTGAAGGCACCCCAAACCCAGACCTACCTCTTGGATCGGACAGTGTAGGTGATATTCCCGTTGGAAAACCTTGGTGCCTCCCACTGCAAGGTGCTGTGGAGATTGACTGAAGTAATTCTTACATTTCGGGGCTTTGGGAYCATTCCAGACACTGTGGGAGGAATCAGAACCAAACACTTTGGTTTCTTCCAGCACTTCTCAGTCATTCAGAGCTTAAATGCAGCCTTTGCCTTGCCTTAGACGCTTATTTAAAATCAGAGCTCAATTAAATTAATTTAAATCCTGAGCTTATGCAACAAATTACTGGCACCAGTGACTTCCAGTAAGTCCTTGTGACACCAACATTTCTTGTGCATGACTGAGCTTGTGCTGCCCAGGACTCAGGGCATGAATCCTCCCTGAGATYGTCAAACCCCAGTTTTTCCAAGCAGTGCTCCAGCAGTATTTTAGGAACAACAAGGGTGTGGGTACTGATAAAAAGAGATAAACCAGAAACGCCTCCAAAGGTAAGAGAGGTATTAAATATAATTAAATATAATTATCACTAATYAGTACTCTTCATAAGTGACGAAACCATAGTTGTTTGCCTTTCTTGGAACTGAACCGCAGAAACCCTAAAGTAGCRTAAAGTGTCAGTAAAAAGTACATTACTATTATGTTTTAATTGTTTTTACATAATAGCAGGTATTGAAACTAAAATAGCAAAGACTCTGGCCCATTACTGCACCACAAATGAGCAATGCAAACAAACCCTGTCAGATCAGATCAGGGCTGAAAGGTCACAGGAGTCAAACATGACTACAGGTGTTCTAAGATAAATTAACACATTTTACTGTCTGTAGTTCACAGAACCATCAAGGCTGGAAGAGACCTTCAAGGTCACCCTGTCCCAGTGTCACCCCAGCACCACCGTAATCAYCCCTGAGCCATCTCCCAAGGGCTCTGATGGAGAAATAAATGAAATTAACATGTCAGTCTCCCTTCYCTGACAGACAAGAGTTTGAAATGTAAACCGGGCTTAAATAAAACAGACCCCACTCCTACAGCATTACCGTCGCATCCCACAAATAACTCAAACACACTGCACATCGTAAATACTGAAGACTGAATCACACACTGGCTTGAGAGGGACCTCAAAGCCCATCCAGTGCCACCCCTGCCATGGCAGGGACATCTCCCACTGTCCCAGGCTGCTCCCAGCCCCAATGTCCAGCCTGGCCTTGGGCACTCAAAGGGATCCAGGGGCAGCCACAGCTTCTCTGGGCACCCTGTGCCAGGGCCTGCCCACCCTCCCAGGGAACAATTCCTGCCCAATATCCCATCTGGCCCTGCCCTCTGGCTCTGGGAAGCCATTCCCTGGCTCCTGTCCCTCCAGCCCTTGTCCCCAGTCCCTCTCCAGCTCTCTTGCAGTGTTGCCCCAAGAGRAGGAAGAGATCTTGGGAGGACAAGGTCTGAGGTAGGCATGCAAATTTCCAGGAAAAAGCACGGTTCCTTGCAATGTTCACTTCCCTGACAATGCTTCATATATGAGAAGCCTCCAGGCAAATTGTTTCATTGGGCCCTGTGGATCCAAAGAGATGAGGAAACAYCTCTGGGGTTTCAGGTTTGTGCACAGACCTCCCAGCCCACTACTCCCTCCATGGGCAAATCCCAAAATCCTCACGATGTGAGGCTGAGCCAGTTCCAGCAAACTGACTGTACAGGGYAGAGTTCAGGGGGTCAGTGCTGAGAGGAGTGTGGGAAGGAATGCTGAGGAAGGAAGGGAAAGGAGTGGAGCTTTGGTCATGGAATCACAGAATCCCAAAATCTCTGAGGCTGGAAAAGCCCTCCCAGCCCATGGAGTGCCAGCTGTGCCCRATGCCCACCTTGTCCCCAGCCCAGAGCACTCAGTGCCACCTCCAGCCCTTCCTGGGACACCTCCAGGGATGGGGACTCCAAAGCTCCCTGGGCAGCCCCTGCCAAGGCCTGGGAACCCTTTCCATGGGCAAATTCCTCCTGGGGTCCACCCTGAGCCTCCCCTGGCCCAGCCTGAGGCCGTTCCCTCTCCTCCTGCCCYCTCCCTATGGAGCTGGGGACAGTGACCCACAGCCCTCGGGGCGCGACTCTGCCCCCACGCCCGCCTTTCCGCGCTGAGACTTGCACCACCATGTCCCACCGATCCCATTTCCCGGCACAGATTGAGCCCCGGGGCAATAACGCCCGCGGGCGGCGGGACCCCGGCAGCAGCACCCCCGGCACCCGCGGAGCTGCCCCTGTGACCGGGCACTCCCAGCCCGCTGCCCCTGTGACCGGGCACTCCCGGCCCCCTGCCCCCTCACAGCCCCGCCAAGCCGCGCCGCCTCAGGCGCTCCGCGCTCCTCCTCATGGCTCCGCCGCCCTTCGTGCCCGCGGCCCGGCGGGACCGGGAGGTCGCTCCGTCCCTCCCTCGCTGCCCGGCAGCCCCGGCGCACTCACCGCACAGCAGGAGCCCGCTGCAGAGCGCGCCCCGCAGGGCGGCGGCCATGGCGGCTCCYTCAGCAGCGGCGGGGCGGCCGCGCCATGGCTGCGGCAGCGGGGCCGCCCCGAAACCCCGAAACCCTTCCGCTTCCCAGCGGGGCGGGGCGGCTGCGGGCACGGCGGCTGSCCGGGGCCGGGGGTTCTCCCTCACACACCGCGGGTTCACCTCGAACACCGCGGCTCTTCCCCTTCAGACACCGGGGCGTCCAACTCAGGCACCGGAGGTTCCCCCTTACACAGCGGAGATGCTCCCTTAGGACACTGCAGCTTCACCCCGCGCACACCGGGGCTGCCCCCTCAGGGACCGGGAATTTTAAATGTCATAAAAATGTCATGTTTTAATACTAGTCAGCAATTGTACAAAATGATATAAAAAAAAATTTAAAGTGTACTTAATGCCTTGTTCCACTCTTTAGGTAGCTGAGTATTCCTGTCTCTGCCCCCACTACTCCACTGGATCAGCTTTTGTTGCACTAACAGAGCATCCATCCAGCAGAAGAGCTTTCACAGAAATCYAGTGACAGAGGTAAAGAATAAAAACATTGAACAAGTGGTTTGGTTGAGAGACCAGCTTTCCACTGTCCCMGGCTGCTCCCAGCCCCAATGTCCAACCTGACCTTGGACACTGCAGGGATCCAGGGGCAGCCACAGCTTCTCTGGGCACCCTGTGCCAGGGCCTCCCTACCCTCCCAGGGAACAATTTCTAATCCCAAACTGCCCTCTGTCAGTTTGAAGCCATTCCCTGTGTCCTGCCCCTTTATCCCTTGTCCAAAGCCTCTCTCTCAAAGCCCCTTTGGGCACTGGAAGGGGCTCTAAGATCTCCCTGGATCCTTCTCAGGTGAACACCACCAGTTCTCTCTGTAGAAGTCCACACTCACAGGATATTAATGAAAGGACAAGATCGGTGCATTTAGTCCAGAAATAAAAGTTGGACAATACTGGCTCCTATGTTATAAAGTACCAGCAGTTCTTCCTTCATCTCCTCATGTACCCTGTTACTTGCTCGGTGTCTGAGTCCAAGGAGTCACTCTCCTCGGAAGAAGAGTTTTGCCACGTGTGGAAATCCTCAGAACAGGGTGCTTCCTGCACACTTCCCGTGCCCTCCAGCAGCTTTTCTTCCAAGCCATGAGCACAGTGCCAGTCATCTGCATCCTCCTGGGCAGAGGGAGCAGATGCAGAGCTGTGCCCGTGCTCCTCCAGGGTTCCCAGCAGCACTGTGTGTAAGTTGATGGTGAAGCACTCACTGCTCCCTTGGGCGCTACAGCTGCCCTCAGAGCAAGGGCTCAGTAACTCACTCCTCGAGTCTGTGTCTCCTTCGGGGCCCAGCTCCTGCTCCTCACACTCCTGTGGCTCAACAGCTGSGATGTCACCGGCCTGGCTGCTGCTGTGCTCACAGGAGCTGTTCACTGAGTACTCCACCAGGGCACTGGGGGTGGCACAGCCCTGGGGGACCCTGCCCCTGGCCAGCGCCACACGCCTCATGTAGTCATGGTCACACAGCATGCTGCTGTCACTGTCACTGCTGTCGCTGTCACTGTCATCGCTGGCACTGCCTCTGCATCCCCTGGCCTTGCTTTTAACCTCTCTGGGGATGATCTCCACAGAGGCCGCTTTTTCTGATTCAAACTCCCAAAGTGGGTAGGACAAMCTCCTGATGAATGCCTGGAAAAGCAAAAGGAGTTAAATCAAATTGGCCACATTTACACACATGCACAGAACATGAAAAAGACTCTAAATAACCCCAAAGAGGAGGCTGTTCAAGAAATTATTCATTCTGTGCCATAGTTGTGGCTTTTTCTGCAGAGTTCAGAACATGTAGGATACAGAACGTTTCTTCTTCATTCCTGAACATCACAGAAAATCTTCTATGAAACCCATAGGCTGGGAAGGGATCTTTTAAATCCCACCCAGTGCCACCCCTGCCATGGCAGGGACATCTCCCACTGTCCCAGGCTGCTCCCAGCCCCAATGTCCAGCCTGGCCTTGGGCACTCAAAGGGATCCAGGGGCAGCCACAGCTTCTCTGGGCACCCTGTGCCAGGGCCTGCCCACCCTCACAGTGTGAGGCAAGTCTTGCCACTCTCTCTCAACTCTTGCAGTAACCTTTCATCGCTGAACAATTTTAATGTCATCTAGAAATGATCTTTTGAAGCAATTATGACCACTTTAACATTCCAAGTGCCATTTTCCCTGTGCACTTCAGAGGATTATTCAATATTTAAAGCATTAATCATATTGACAATAAAAGAAATAAGTAGACCTTGGACATTCCTTTGTAAGGTTGTGTCCAGCCATTGTAAGAATGTGAAAGCAATATCAGAGCAAACAACAGAAATATGGAAAAAAAGTTATACCAATCTGTTCTGGGTATGTTTGTAGAAAATGGAGAATATTTATGCTGAAAACTCTATAGAATCAAATGTTAAAGAAGTCAAAGACTATTAAAAAATAAACCAAGGAAGCAAAGATGGATAGAAACAAGAAATCTTGTTATTTTTGCTTGAAATTCAGTGGCAGCTCAGTCTATGAAAATAAAAAGTCARCTGGCTCTGGCTTTGTCAAGTGCTTTAACACTTGGATGACAGAGAAAGTCACAGAGAGATTATTTCATTCCAAACAGTGGAACAACTTCTCCTCCAGTCTCTCCCCACAGGGCAGGTTCTCCAGCCCTTTCCTCATCCCCCTGGCCCTGCTCTGGCCCTTCTCCAGCCTGTCCATACCTTTTGTGCCCTGTGAGGACCAGAGCTGAGTGGAATATTCCTGGATATTCCCACYGAGCAGGGTGGGATAATCCTCTCCTTTATTAACTTGTCACAGAAGTAGCAAGAAATGAGTATTTGTTCTGAAGATCAGACATAACTTAGCAGCCTATAGATCATCTTTGAGGTAAACTGCCAATGAAAATAGTCTGTGTTCTTACATAATTTGTACCTAAAGCACAGGATTGGAAATTCCAGTTGTTAAACTTCCCCCTGCCAACCAGGAAGGGCAGACCTGAGAACTGTTACATACCAAGCTCTGAGGAAGGGATTTCTTCTGGAGAAAAAACCCTGCTGTATGCACACATTTGAGGACTGCACCAATGATCAGTGAAACACAGACAGCACTTGCCACTGCAACTTTATGATAGCCTGGAGTGGGAAAATCAAATAAACACACATGGATGAAGTGTCCCATGACCACATTTCAGATTTCACACTCACAACACCTACTGAGAATCATCAATAATTTTGGTTAGAAGGGACTTGTGAAAGTCCAAGTCAAAATAAGACCAAATTTCAAATTAGATTCAGGAATTAAAAAAGAAATTATTCTATCTTTGTTAACTTTTTATGCAGTTAGTGGAGATCTGTACGGCTCAGGGGACTGCCAAGAGCTTTGCTRCCCCAAAGTGGATGGGGTTTCATATTTCATTCCTAAATCCCCACAATGGTTCTCCCTTGGAATGTTTCTCTCTGACACTGAGGCACCGATCTCTGCTCCCTACAACAGGGACAGCCCCAGRGAGCAGCTGGAGCTGGGMCAGGGCAGGCTSAGGCTGGAGAGCAGGGAAAGGTTCTTCTGTCCCCAGAGGGTGCTGGCACTGCCCAGGCTCCCCAGGGAACGRGCACGGCCCCGAGGCTGCCAGAGCTCCAGGAGCGTTTGGACAGCGCTGCCAGGGATGCACAGGCTGGGATTGCTGGGGGGGCTGGGCAGGGACAGGGGTGSCACTGGGTGATCCTGGGGGTCCCTTCAGCTCAGGATATTCTAGGATTCTGTGAYCATTTATTGTTTTTTAAGATTGCACTGTAAATGTCCCTACACCAAAAGGAAACTCTGCACACTCAGACCAACCCCTCCTGCCCCAGCTCCCTTACCTTGTGGAGCCTCAGAGTCTGCAGTGGCACATTTCCAGGGGGAGGGGATGGAATGTCTGTTCAGGGATGCTGAGACCTCCACAGACACACAGTAATTCCTACTGGGATACAATTCTTCAATGACAGTACTGAACACTTCTTCAGTGGTTTTCTGCCGTGGCTTCTGCCATGAAAGACAATATTCTGGAGTTAGTTATTGGCTAAAAAGAGATGCCTGCTCACTCCTCCAGACCTGCTCCTCAGCAGAGAAAGGAAGCTCCGATTCTGTTGACCATCTTCTTTCTTTTCAACTAAGAAATTTGTTTCTAGGTTTCCTTTTGTTTTTCTTCACATATTTGCTTTTGGGAACCTGGTGACCATCAAAGCCATTTTATGTCCTCTGTGTTTCTTCCGTAAAGAACAATTAAACCCCAAATTTCTCTACCTTATACTCTCCATCCAGTGATTTCAGTGTGATATTATAATCCAGCTCTTCATAGATATCAATTAAAGACAGCAGCTTTCCCCTCTCTCTGAAGTGAGAGGGTGGCAGCTTTACAGTGACATTGATGCAGTTTGGACAGGAAGTGATATTCACTTCTGGTGGTCCCAGAACRGCTGTTGGAAAACAAGAAAGAGAAAAAAATGATGGGAAAAGGGCAGATTGAAGGACCAACAGTAAATCTCTTCCCCTACACTTAGTGCAGACTTGGCATTTTTTAACTCAACATTCACTACTTGGACACACAAAAACAATGGAGTTTTTGAAGTTATGTCTCTTATGTACTTCAGAGATTTTTACTTTGTGTTTGTCAGTGCACAACTGTATTTCCTTTATAATTTATATATGTATTTCAAAACCTCATCCCTTTATCAGAACGAATCATTTTAGAAACCTACCTAAATACTTGAAATATTGTAAGAGATATATGATATACTCTATACAAACAGCCATCAACCCAATTCATTTGGAGTCTTACAGCAAAGGTAGCAGAATAGATTTTAGCTACCAGCTTGTCATGGTTTTACTGTTCAAACCACGACACAGCTGTTAATAAAAACTGCTAAAATAAGAAACGCAGACACAGAACTTACTCTGATAGAATGGCACAAAAAACAGCACRGAAGAGTTGAGCACCTGAGTTCCTCCAATGCTTTGAACAAGTATATAATACCCAGTGGATTTAGGCTTGAACTCCTCTGTCAGCTCACAGGTGAGCTGGGCAATACCTGAACACTGCTTAGGAGTCATCCAGTTCCAGTGCCTGCAAAAAAGAGCAAAACAGTCTCAATTCCCTGATATGAGAAAGCATGGAAGAGTGAGGAGAGAATTTCTCAGTGAAAAACCTAAGAAAAAACATCAAGAAAAACCAAGAAAACCTCAGCCTTAGTATTTTCACACAATCCTAGGATCCCTGAGACTGGAAAAGTCCTTGAGCCCATGCAGTCCYAGCTGTGCCCGATGCCCACCTTGTCCCCAGCCCAGAGCACYCAGTGCCACCTCCAGCCCTACCTGGGACACCTCCAGGGATGGGGACTCCAGCCCTGCCTCCCCTTCRGGTCAGTAAACATTAAAAGTCAGATTTGTGCCTATGTGACTTGCCTGCGGTCTCTGTACAGCACATTGTAGGATGTTGGCACMGCTGGGTCATGTTTTGCCTGCCAGGACAAAATGTGCTGGAAATTGGAGGATTCCATCCAGAGTTTGTAAGGAGACCCTTCCAAAATTCTTTCTAGAAAGGAAAAAATAACAAAAAACCCCAAACAACCAACCCTGAGCTTTGCAACAATTCTAATAAATAAACCCATTTAGAGAAGCTCAATATTTGCCCCCAAACAAAGCAGCCACATGGGAGAGCTCAGCACAACAGACAATGCAATGCAAAGCACGGTGCACACGGATTATATTTCTGTAAGTTCTTTCTCCAAAAAGCATGAAGTTTCTAAATGATGCATGATGAAGCTGTGCAAGCCATGAAATGCGTTAGGAAAAGCATTTTAAAGGTGATAAAACTCTTACCAGGCTGGCTGCAAACAGCTGTAGACAAAAAGGTGATGCACACTGGAAATTGAAAGTCTGTATTAACGCATTGGTGTATTCACAGGATCTGATTTTTATTGCAAACACTCATTTGCAACAATTAGAGACATGCTCAGTATTGCCTCAGTGCAACTGTTACTTTCTTTCACATCTTCCTAAGACTTTTCTCYCCAGAGCCTGGGAGAACTGTCCCTGTCCTTATTCCAGGGCTCTGAGAAGATGGTTCCTGGATCACTACRCTGCTCCCTCCATGTGAGGTTCAAGATTCAGTGTGAACAAAACCACCCAAGATGTTCTCATCAAATCAYGTCTTAGAGGACCCTGACTGTATCTCAATCACCTTTTCCAGTCATGAGCAGAATTTCAGAACTGATTTGGGAAAAGATCCCATTATTATTTGACTCATCCTCACAGATCCCAGAATCCCAGAGTGATCTGGGTCGGAAAGGACCTTAAAGATCATCCCATTCCACCCCCTGGCAGGGCAGGGACACCTTCCAGCAYCTCAGGCTGCTCCAACCTGGCCTGGGACACTTCAGGGATGGGGCAGCCACAGCTTCCCTGGGCAATCCTGCCACTCCAGAGGTTCCTACGCCTCCCTGTGAAACTTCCCTAGGAGACTCCAGGGTCTCACTGCATCCAGGATTCCTTTCTTTGACCAGCCCTGCTTTTCATCATTCCCATCTTTTCAACACAGTGCTTCAAAACACTTGAAATTATCGCCCTGACTCCTCTAACTTTTCTTCTCAAGACCCTTCAGCCTCCCTTCTGCTTTGAGTGCCACAAGGAGAAACTTCCTGTTCTTATTTTAAAGCATTTTGTGGTAATTCCTCTGACTCCGGAGATGCCGACTCCCACACTCAGTTGGCCAAAGAAGTCACTGTTTTAATTTCAAACATATTTCTTCTCAGTTTCACATGGATTCCATGGGAAAATCTGCAAAGTTCCTTCCTTCCTTCTCCAAAGCTCTCTTTTGTCTCGACCTGATGTGTCAACGAGATGTGCCCGGGAAGGGAAGGGAAGAAGAGAAATCTGGGCCATGAATTAGAAAATTAAAACAATCTTTATGAAGATCCACAAATAATGAGTTTAATTGCAGTTAAAAAYAGAACAATCTATTTCTTGCCAGGTAGTAAGACATCACCCATTTGGAAAAAAACACCGGGTGTGAATGAGGAACAAAGCACTATTTTAACAGTTATTATTACCTGAACACAAACTCRGATTTGTCATAATTTGTGCCTGCTGAATTGCTGGTGTATTCCTGTTAACATTACTTGATATTTCAATGCCTCTCCCCTACSCAAAACCAAATTCCCTTCAAGTGGAGTTCAAACAGCCTCTGACCTTTGTTTCAACAAACAAGTTTGGCAAACGRAGTTGAGCAGCTGCAAAACTGTTTATGTTACACYCTTACAGAAGAGAAACAGCCAAAACCAAGTATCTTAGAACAAATAACTGGGAAAATTCAGCCGGGGGAAATAAAGATGGTCGGGAAACTGCATGGAGAATCTTCTTTACCATCTTGGCCTATTTGCAGTTTTCACCATTCCTGGAAGTGTCCAAGGCCAGGCTGGATGGGGTTTGGAGCAACCYGGGACAGTGGAAGGTGTCCCTGCCCATGGCAGGTGCCATACTGATGGCTTTAATGTCCTTCCCAAACCATTCTGGGGTTCTGGGATGATGATTTTACCCTTTTTACAGAATTAAAGGATCCTAACAAATCCCTTTCTCACAACAACTGCAGCTCAGCCAGTCTGTGTTTTGTTTCACCTGCTATTTCAGAAACTGAGAAGTGCTGAAAATATCAGAGTAAGGAATAAAAACCAAAACACGTAACTGAGAGTTCCCTGGATATGCAGAGAGGCAGAACCATGGAATGGAATGGAATGGCCTGGATTGGAAGGGACCTCAAAGCCCACCCAGTGCCACCCCTGCCATGGCAGGGACACCTCCCACTGTCCCAGGCTGCTCCCAGCCCCAATGTCCAGCCTGGCCTTGGGCACTCAAAAGGATCCAGGGGCAGCCACAGCTTCTCTGGGCACCCTGTGCCAGGGCCTGCCCACCCTCCCAGGGAACAATTCCTGCCCARTATCCCATCTGGCCCTGCCCTCTGGCACTGGGAAGCCATTCCCTGGCTCCTGTCCCTCCAGCCCTTGTCCCCAGTCCCTCTCCAGCTCTCCTGGAGCCCCTTCAGGCCCTGGCAGGGGCTCTGAGCTCTCCCTGGATCCTTCTYCCCCMAGGCTGCACTCTCCCAATGCTCTCAGCCCTTCCCCACAGCAGAGGGGTCCCTTCCCTCTGGTCATGSTTCAGGCACAGAAGGGAGGATGCAGAGATAAAACAGGAGATCTTTATTCTGGGAATTGCTCAGGGAGTGCTCTGCTCCTGATGAGGTAGTGTCAGGTCATAGGCTGGACATGATGATCTTAAAGGTCCTTTCCAGCCTAGTTAATTCTGTGATTCAGTAATACCATGATGGTCTCTTACTTCATTAACTCAGAATTATTAATCAATTAATGAGCTCCCCACACTGCTCCTCTCTAATCTAAAGGTTCAGGTACTCACCAAGCTGACTGAAAGACATTGGCACATCCATCAGGGTTATCCTGGAGATTAACAAGTGAACTCCTCTGCTTGCAAAAAAAACATTTTGCTTCTGTACCTACAAATACAAGAAAAACAAGCACATGTTACTAAATTATCATAGTATATTACTTGTAACTAAGCCAGGGTTTCTGTACAAAGTTACTTTAACCTCTCCCGTGACTGAGGAAGTGCAGTGGTATAGAAAGAGTTCCTGCTGTGGGGGGCAGCACTGATCCTTGGTGTTTGGAGGCAATTTTAGCTCATTTTATGGCAACAACACTTTCCTTCTCTCACATGGAAAGGGCTTTCACCACTYCAAATAAAGCAGAAACCACTGCATGATTATTCATATTAACTTTGCATTAAAACAGTATCTGACAATTCCATGCCRCTCACTCCAACTTCATCGAGACAATGAAAATAAAAATGCTTCGGTTTTGTTTGAAATTAACCCTTCACTGTTGTAAGAAATGTTTCCAGAAAGAGAAAAGATCAACAGGAAGCTGAGAAAAAAATTATAAAGAAGTTATGAAGTTTATGTTACAATATTTTAATGCATAAGATCTATTAAAATACTCCCTCTTGCCAGTGTTACTATTTCACTCTATTTAACATCCCCATAATATTAACTTCCACAAGATCTGATTTTGAATTAGCTGGGCATGGGTTTATGTATTTCTAAAGAAACTTCCCCTCAGGTTTAATAAAAATTAACTGTTTGTTAACTTAAAATTATTTTCAAATACAACTGGAATAATTTTCTCTGCAAAACAAAGAGTTTAAAATTCAAAATAATTCCAGAGCACATTATGGTCAAGCCTAACCCAGTGTATTACCATACTACCACAGGACAGAATTCATCTGTTTAAATCAGGTGAACTGAAAACCCCTTATCTGAGAAGTCAATCTCCCTGTGCTCTGAGCTCTGGCAGGACTGGAGAAAGTCACTGGATAAATGGAGCCAATGTGCATCTGTGCAACTGATAACTCCACAGCCAAAGGGAACGTTCTCTTCCCCTCAGGTTGCTTCATTTTATTAATTCGTTCAAGAAGAAGTAATTTCAAAGAGCACCTGCACCTAAAGGATGGGATTTTCCAGGTTGTTCAGAATTTTCCCTTCTGGAGAAAGCCTTGGGGATCATGAATTCACTTGGCAAATGATTTCCTTCCCGTGTTAATTGTTGTAATTAATCCCATGCTCAAAGCACTCCTAACCCAGAGGGATTTGTGTACCTTGGATCCTTGCTGTCCATGCCGTCAGGAATAACAAATATCCCACTCTGGGAATCACAAGTGGCTCCCATGCATCTCTGGATGCTGAACAACAGTCTATTACATAATGGATGATCAAAGCCAAGTTATGTGTTCAGCACCTTAAAATGTTGGAGAAAATGGGATTAAATGTGTTTATTTCCAGGTTTCCACAGCTGTCTAAAGCTGGATGTCCTCTGTAGATCTATCATTGCCAGGGAGATTCCAGGGGAAATTCCAGGGGAAAGCCATTTCTGTCAGAGCTCTGATGAGCTTTTGTTACTCTTCCTCTTCAGAGCTGCAGCAATGCCTGCAGAGAAAGAATGGAAACACCAGTGAGTGCAGCCCCCCTGAGCCCAACCTGTGCTCACAGGAGATCCCTTGGGAGCTGCCTGGAGCTCCCAGGGCTCCCAAAACTTCGAGTCACAATCCCACAATATCCACAGCT